GCATCAGCCTGCAGACTGAAGGGTCCCAGGTTTGATTCTGGTCAAGGGCACAGGCCCAGGTTGCAGGCTCCCTCCCCAGTGGGGGGTGTGCAGGAGGCAGCTGATCATGATTCTCTCTCATCGTTGATATTTCTATCTCTCTCTCCCTCTCCCTTCCTCTCAGAAATAAATAAAAATCTACTTAAAAAATAAACATGTTCTATGTAGAAATTCTGGAAACTAAAGACAAATCGAAAATTTAAAATGGAAATATTCTACAAGTATATAACCCACATAAACCCTTGTTAATAAGCCAGTGTATCATCTCCTAGTGATATATTTTGGCTGCACATATACACATTTAAAAAAAACCATACAAATGAGATCAGAAGGTACCTAATATTTTGTAACCCTTTCCCATGGGTGATTAAATAGCTTTAACAACCTGATTTTTAACTCCTAATAACCCACGGTAGCTATGATTTCATTCAACCAATCCTTTATTGTTGCACAATTACATGGTTTTTCATTTTTACAACCATAAAGCAGGCTTGATGAGCATTCAAGCCAGGTGGAGAAGGCCAAGGCCATGGCCTAAACGGAGGAGCAGAGCCTAGACAATTTCTTTGATTAGAGGGAAAACAAGAAGAAGGAGCGAAGCAACTGGACAGAGAGCACCTGGGAAGCAAAGGATGAATTTTAAATTTAATCTTTTTCTAAATGGTTATCAACTGTCTCAAGATAATTTTAAAATGATTCATTCTATATTACATTGATTTTAAATACCAGCTTAATGAAGATAATAAAAATATCTGTGGCTCAGCCAGAGTGGCTCAGGTGGTTGAGTGTCATCCTGTGTACCAAAAGGTTGACAGTTCGACTTCTGGTCAGGGCATATATCTGGGTTGTGGGGCATGCAGGAGGCAGCTCATCAGTGATTCTCTCTCATCATTGATGTTTCTATCTCTCTCTCTCTCTCCCTTCCTCTCTGAAATCAATAAAAATAGATTTTTTTTTTTTTAAAAAGGTTGACTACAGAAGCCTCACAGTTCAGGTGATGCAAATAAGTGAAGAGGAAGAAGATGACAGTGAAAAAAGAGAAGATCCAGGTGATAATTGGGAAAAAGGTGAAGGTGGTGGTGGTGGTGGTGGTGTAGAAAAATCTTCAGGTCCCTGGAATAAAACAGCCATGATACAAGCACCCCCTACTCCAGTAATTGTTACAGAAACCTTAGAACTGGCATTGACTAATGGTGTCTATAGGCCTCCTGGAGCCAGGTTAACCACAAGGAAAACATCACAAGGGCTACCAGAAAACATACAGTGATACACCATTCTCATCCCTGCAGTCCATTGCCAAGAAGGTAGAAAGCCAAAAGGATAGAGAAATGGAGAAGAGCTTTGCAGTCGTTAGTAAGACACAAAACTAGAGGCAGAGATGAGGTTTCAAAAAACCAGGCCCTTAAACTTCCTTAAGCTAGACAACCAGCACACTATGCTTAAAAATAAAAAAGCACACAGTACAATTAAGGAATGGTCTTTGCTAACCCTTCTAAGGTAACTAGACCACACTAATCACCATGAACAGCCATTATCATCTGATTTCTGCTAGACTGACAGCAACCAATGCAGACCCTTCTATATAAGTGACCAGCCCTGTTGCACTATGGAAGTTTCAAGTGTCACAACTGCTCTTCATGTATATTGAATTTAGGGAGATTGTAATAAAAACACACACATGCACGCGCGCGCACACACACACACACACACGGCAGGCAATGGTTATTTCAAAATCTTTTCATGTTCAGGTACTCATGTGGATCACAACTTCTGGATTAGAAGGTTACAGCTGTTAAGTGGCGATGCAAAACTTGCAACCAGCTCTGCTGGATACCTATCAGAAATTCTGCAGAGAATCATCTGTCTGAGTTTTGATCTGCTATAAAAGATGATTTTTTGTTGTTGTTAATTCTCATCTGAGGCTATTTTTTCCATTGATTTTTTTTAGAGAGAGTGGAAGGAAAGGGAAGAGACAGAGAGAAACATCAATGTGAGAGAGACACATTGATTGATTGCCTCCTGCATGTGCCCCAATTGGGGTCAGGGATTGAGGCTGCAACTGAAGTATGTGCCCTTGACACCGGAATCAACCCTGAGACCCTTGAGTCTGACGGTCAACACTCTTAATCACTGAGTCAAACTGGTGAGGATATATATATATTCAGAGAGAGAGAGAGAGAGAGAGGGAGAGAGAGAGAGAGAGAGAGAGAGGGAA